TCACCTTCTGAGACCCATTAGGAGTATTCTGGGCTTCTGTTCCCCTGGGAGAAGACCCGTGGAACCATCACCCTCTCCATCAAAGGGAGTGTACCCAAAATCTTGAGGGAATGAACCCACGTCGTAGCCAGCCTGGTACTGGTCGTCGTCGTCCTAAATTCGTTTTTGTTTCATTAAACGAATGAGTGATTCAGTCAAAAAAATAGATTAATAGATAAATATTTGATACGTTTTTCTACTCTGTAATATCTTAAGCCAGTGAGTGTTTTTTTTTAAATTGAAATATGCTGAGATAATAAATTATATTAAAGTTGTAATGCGTGACTAATGTTTCTTGAATGTTGAACCGAACCAGAGGATTCTTAGAGATATGTATTCAACCCGTTCAAAGGGAGAACGAAAAAAGCATTACTATCCTCCGACCAAAAGAAATTCTGATAAAGCCCACTAGTAAACACAAGTATTATCACTCAATAAAAATATAAGATTGAATTTTTACTAACCATTCTCACGGATTAATTAAGCACTCACTAATGATGAAGACAGCGCTGAGATGAATATGACTGTTTATTCTGCTTATTGCAAAGAAAGGAAATAACTAGACACCTGGATTTGTTTATATTTGCGCGATGCGTATGTCAATTTCTCAACCGAGAGGAGTTCTTAGGAGGTGTGTGTCTACTCGTCGAAGTATCGTCGTCAGATACATATGAGTGTGTGAAATTCCTCTGTGTCACGGAGGGACGATATAATTAGAGCTTTTCAATCAGCAAAAAATAATCGATTCTCGAAAGTCGATTTGAAAAACCGAGTGTCAAGTACCCGACAATCGATTGTTGAAATGTCGATCCTCAGTCGAAAAACCCTAGGTAATAATACGTTGGCACTGATGATTTCAAAAATCAACCGTTGAATTCCGCGTCCATTGCGCATACTGCCGCCAAAATGGTATGCATTTGTTGATAGCATTTGTTTTTAATTTTCTGGCGTGATTCAAGTATGCAATAATTGCGTAATTATTTTAAATAAGTCGAAAGAGTTAATTGAAGAGTGAAGTACATGAACTGCACTTAGTATTTGATATCTCAATTGGACTGCAATATAATAATCATGGAATTTGTTATTCCGTTATCAAAGAACGATCTCCTGAGACGTAAAAGTGGCCAGTACTATGTAAAAGATATGACGGCTATACCAGCTATCCCTGCAGCATTAGACGGTAATTAAAGTGATTTAATTGAAGATTTAATATGCACGGACCATTTGAAGACATAACCTCTTCTCTGACATCCTCAAACCTCTCGACGCTCCATGAAAAAAAAATCGAAGTTTAAAATATCTCACACAAATAATTGTCTTAAGCGGTTTAATCACCCCCTACCAATATTATCTTTTTTTTTCTCGACAGCAACACGGCAAGCCCTCGCAGATGTCGGTCCCAGTTTCATCTTGAAACACTTCGACGACTTTTTCTCAATCCTAATCCACGGAAATAAACTAGAAAATTGTCACACAATCCGAGCGTTCGATAGACTTCTCAAAGCCATGGAAATCCTTATAAACGATATGGAGAAGAATTTCCCGACAAAGGAAACTCGCGCCAATTTTCTCTGTATCAACAAAATGTATGCCTATCTCATCTGCACCCTAATGTGCACCATCGAAGACAATACCTCAGTTATCAATACAGATTCCCAAGGGTCTAATAAAAAGAAAAAGAAAAATGCCAAGACACCTGAAAGAGAAGAGTGGGAGTGTCGACGAGACAAGGCTTTTTTTTCCATCCACCGTTGGCTACTGCTTCCTCTGCAAAATCTGTGGACTCCACCTATTGTCGAAGAGGCCTTCGTTCAGCTCATAGCCGATGTCTGCTACAAAACCCTGGAGCACGATAAGGATAACAAGGGGGAATCCGAGGTAAGAACGACAACATTTCAGATCCTCGGAGTTCTCGTGAAACGATACCTCCATAACATTACCTGCGCCATAAAAATCATTCAACTGGTGAAGATGCACGAAGATCTTGGGCCCTACTTAGCCCAGGGAGTCGTCGAAATGGTTTCCTTTCACAATTGTCCAGGGTTCATGGCTGAATTAGCTCAAGAGATTGAACAAACGAGTCTCGATGACACATCAGCACGACACGTCTCCTCATTTCTCGAAGCAATTGCCACGATTAAACCACAACTGGTCCTTCCGATCCTGGACAACATCATTGATTACCTCTCCAATGAATGCTACTCTATGAGAAATTGCGCAATAAATGTTCTCGGTGTCGTTATAGTTAAAGCCCTTACAGGAGAAAATCTGACTCATGAACAAAGAGCAAAACGTAACGAATGTTTCGATCTACTGGAAACGCATACGCGAGATGTTCATACGTACGTCCGATCCAAAGTATTCCAAGTACTCCAAAAATTGTGCTGCGAACAATCCATTCCCGTAGATCGCTTCGCCTCGATAATGAGGATAACAGTTCTCCATTTACGAGAAAAATCAGCAATTGTTCGGAAACAGGCACTCGTTCTCATTAGAGTATTGCTGGAGGGTCATCCATTCAAAACTTTCCTCGATAAAAATGAGATAGCGAAGAAAAAGGCAGAGTTCAAAGAGAAATACGATAAAATGCAGGAAGATATTGTGGCCGCATCTGGCAGCGGCCACGAGGAACGTCTGGAGCTTTGGAAGACATTGTCCCCAGGGATTATTCAGGCGATAAAGGATTGCATTGCTGATCAAGAGGATGAGGACTCTGAGAGTGAAGACGAGGAGGAAGAAGAGGATGAGGACGGAAAGTACGAGCAGATACGAAGTATGATTATTCAGAAGAATTTTCATGCAGCTGTGAAAAAACTCATCAAGACAACCAAGACTGAGAATTTATCAGCTGATCCGTTAGAAGATAGCGAGAAAGAGGCGTTCTACCACCACATCATGCTCTTCATCTTCATGGAGTCTTCCAGAGACGGGGCCAATCACCAAGAGAGCTCAGCAAACTTCAGGGAGCAGATGAAGAAGATCATCGCGATAAGAAAAATTTTAGTATTCTTCATGAATGCAGAGACATTTGCAACTGCAATGGAGAATGCATTGATTCAAATTGAGTTAATGCTGTTCTCTTCAACAGTAACAGTAGCTGTGGAAGCCTGCACTCTGCTGTCAACAGCTTTGACATTGAAAATTCCAGGGGCTGATCAAGGCATCAGGAAGGCGTTGTCCCAGGTTTTCAGTAGAGAGGAGTCAGTTCGAAACAACGTGGCAACGATCTACAGGGATATTTACTTGATGAACAACGGGAAGAAGGCGACGACATCCGCTGCAGTTAATGGTTTGATAAATCTTTTCAAAGGTCTCCAACCTGGTCAGAGCCCGGCACTAGCCCATCTCATAGCCATCTGGCTTGCGAATAAAGACTTGACTAATGATCACCTCCTCATGATGTGGCATATATTCGCCAAAAACACACCAGGAGCAACCAACGAGGACAGCAGATCATCTATTCTTCTTCTTGCTATGGCAGCACAGACACAACCATCCATCATCACTGTGAATATTGACACTCTGGTGGACGTGGGACTGAAGACTGAGGGGAACCAAGACCTCATGTTTTCTCGAGACTGTTGCCGTGCTCTCCTCGCGATCAAAACTAACGACTCGACAGAATCTCCTCTGAGACAGCTTAACGATCACAAGATCTTCGAAAATTTATGCGTCTTACTGAAGAACAACTTCGAGACCGCCGATGTTGACACATACGTATCATTCGCTCATGAGGCCATCAATGTGATTTATCATCTTGCTAATCAACCTCAGAAGCTTATCAGAGATCTTTTACAGGAGTTGAACGATAAGATGAGTGAGCCAGAAGTAGACTCATCATCTTTAGCTAAATTACTCTACATGGTTGGTCACGCGGCTATGAAGCACATGGTGTACCTCGACATCGCCGTTTATAAGGAATCAAAACGCAGGAATACGATCATACAAGCTAAAAAAGGGAGAAAGGAGCCTCGGTCCAGCAGCATCTCCATTTGTTCGTCAGCAAGAAAAGCCAGGAGATCATTGCCTCGCAAGCATAAGGATTCAGACTCCACTGTGACTACTGATGATGCTGGTGAGGAAGCACTGGGAGGAGCAACTGCTGATGATGCTGATGCCGAAGCCATTGAAACAGAGCTAGAATTAAACATCTTAGGTGGTGATGGATTTTTCACTCACTTTGTGCCTCTTGTTATTGATGTCTGTCAGTATCCAGAGAAGTACAAAAGCCATTATGTCCAGGCGTTTGGGGTCCAAGCACTCACGAAGATGATGTCACTATCCGCTGGATTCTGTCAGCAGCATCTCCAGTTGTTGATCACTATTCTCGAGAGATCGATGTTCCCTGAGATTCGAGGGAATATTCTAATGGGTTTGGCTGATCTCATGACGAGATTCCCCAATGAAGTGGAACCTTGGACTGCACATCTTTATGGCAGACTGAGGGACAATGACGTCAGTGTGAGGAGCTCTGCTGTCAGGGTACTTGCTAGTCTCGTCAAACGAGAGATGATCAGGGTGAAAGGGCAGATGTCCGAGATGGCTCTGTGCATCGTTGATGAGAATCAGCAGATCAGACTCGATGCCAAGCAGTTCTTCGACGACTTGTCGCGAAAGGGCAATGTACTTTATAATATTATTCCTGATATTCTTTCACGACTAACGAGCACCGACAGTAAAGTCGCTGAAGATGATCTTCATGAGATTGTCAAGCATATTCTGGGGCTCCTGTCGAAGGAGAAGGAGAGCGATGCCTTAATAAACAAAATTTGCCAGAGACTGAAAATGGCGACCACTGACAGACAGTGCAGAGATCTTGCTTATTGCTTGTCAATGCTGCAACTGGGAAGAAAGGGAATTGTCACTCTCACTAGTAAATTACCGTTGATCAAGAATAAAATGCATATCAGGGAGGTACAGAAAGCGCTCATGGATATTGTTGAGAGCGCTAAAAAGAAGGCGGAGACTAGAGAGATCTCGGGACAATTGGAGGATGAGATTGAGAAGATGTTGAACGACGATGAGGAAGATAAGGACGGGGACAAGGACAGGGACGCGATGCCACCACCCCCTGTTATACCACCGAAACGAAATGATAACAATAGTAAAAAGAAAAAGAAGAAAGGGGAGGACAGCGACGAGGAGGCACCCGAGGATGAGGAAAACCAGGAGAATGTGTTCAGGGAGACTGATAAGACTCCCAGCAGGAGGAATTCCAGGACGAGGGCTTCATTGAGGACATCCAAGAGAAAGACGAAGGATTTGTCACCGGAGGAGAACGAGGGCAATGAGACGCCAGCCAAGAAACCTCCCAGTTCCCCTTCTAGCTACAATAGCTCTACGGTAAAGAAAGAGGAGAGTGAAGATGCCAATGTTAGACGGAATCTGAGAAAAGTTCGGGAGCAAACCTCCATTGAAAATCCTCCCCCCAAACGCACGAGGGCCAATAGAAAATAATATACTTTATGTGCAGATATTTCTTGCTTTAATGTAGCTTAACGAACTTCAAAGAATAATTGAAATAGTTATAGGATGTAGATATTTCGAGTTTTCAGTAGTCTACTGATAAGCAAAATCTTTATACTGTGAGAAATATATTAGTTTATACTAATCTGCTTTTGGTGTTTAACATTTTTTGATTATTGTAAGAATATCCAGTTAAGGAAGAGACAGAAATTTCAGACGAGAATTTTTGTAGAGAAATTTTCTGAACCCCAAATCCTCAATTTTTTATGATACGAGGGACTATCGAAATATTAATTATCATTCTCATCAAATATTTGAAAACTGGATGTGTTACATCACTTAAACATAACCTTTAATCTGATCAAACTAACACAACCTCAAACCGTGCACAAGTGAACTTCTCAATTAATTTATTGGATAAAAAATAAAAAAATGAATAAAATATCAACACGTACATTAGTCAAACTGGTGTTATTAGGCGGATTTGGGATTCCATGTGCGGGTTATGGCACCAGGTGGTTAATCCAGGAGAAGATAAAGCAGTCGGCTTCTCACATGGAAGTAGTCGATGTGATAAACAGTCATCCTGGGATAAAATCACGTGTGGGTGAGTCATACGTAATTGGGAGGGTTGATATTGGTGACAATACTGCCTGTGGACAGATAGACAATAAAAAATGGTTCACACTGCCCATCAGTGGTCCAAAGGCACGAGGGACCATCGTCTACTGGGTAACTGTCACAGATCCAGCAAACAACGAATTTCACGTATCGAAGATTGAAGTCAAGGTCGAGGATAACAATAACACCGGGGATAAGTGGTATTTATTAATCAGAGACACGGAAAATGGAAAAAATACTGTGGGGAGTACAACGAAATAGGCGGAGGACTAGGGAAGGCTGCTGATTATTTCTAGTCAATCTGTGGTGATATTCGAGGTGTCTCGACGATGGATGGAGTTCAACGAAATGTTTGGAGAGGTATATCCGTTATTCCAGCTGGCACTTTGAGTCCTCTTCTCGTGTAACCGAGACCTGCCTGCAGGATATGGACTGCTGCCTCCGTAGTCAAGTCGACGCTTTTCTCATCGCCGATCTGGGGATTCACCTCGACAAGATCAATTGCATTGAGGCGATTCGTCCTGTAGACTTCTTCCATCAGGTGAATTCCCTCCCTCAGGGATAATCCACCTCGGACTGTAATTTTTCAATATTTTTTGAAACGTTGACGAGCATTCAAGTTAATGATTAAAGATTAATTTTGAAGAAATTCTGTGGTGGATTTGGGATTTGTTCTGGGGGGTTTACCTGGGGTTCCTGTACTTGGGGCCTCCAGGGGGTCCAGGGAGTCGATGTCGAAGCTGACGTGCAAGGATTTGTCCGCGTGAGGATCGATTTTCTTCAGAGCCATGTGGACAACTTCGTGTATTCCTAGATTATTACATTTTCATAATTATTCGTACGAGAACGATAAATTGCTATTATTTGATTTTAAATTGCAGATATAAAGATTTAAAACGGATTAAAAAATTTAAATTCGTCCAAAATTATTCCAAATCTTTTTTTTTTAGTTTTAACTGGATTAACTGAGAGAAACCAAGTAACAATTTTGAGATAAAAAGTAAAAAAACTATCCCAATGTTGGAAAGATAATTCAACGTATAACTGAAAGCCTCACCATATCTCTCGACGTCTTCCATTCCAAAGGCAGTGATGCCAAATTTTTCAATGACTAATCGTTCGTATTTGTCCACTGAGCGGAGACCGATGTACGCTACATTTCTGATCGACAGTCTGAAATGAAAATTCGCACTTTAGAATCCATAAACATAAACTTAGTCTCTTCCTTCAGTTGGGTAATTTGTGGTAATTACATGGGCATTTGCCAGTCCATTCCAGGTAGATGTGGCCAATAGTCGGATAATTCTGATGTTAGGAGAGCAACTGGCATTCCATGAACATTACCACTGTCACTGGTTTTATTCGTGTTCAGATCTGCATGGGCATCTACCCACAGGACTCCGACGTTTCCCTTCGCCTGCGATATTTCGTTCATTTTTTTAATCAAATTTTTAAATTTCAGACGTCTTTTAATTTATTACCCTCACGTGCCCATCGATTGTTCCAATCCCTACGCTATGATCTCCCCCTAAAGTTACGACTTTCCTCTGCTCCTTCATGATATTCTGCAAGGTTTGGGACAATTCTCGAGTGCAGGCTGACACTTCACTTAAATGAGACATATTGTCTACTCCAGCGACTGCTTCTGGCTCGTATTTTATATTTCCATAATCCTTCACATCCAGACCTGACGGGATTGGACGAAAGAGATCTCAGATATTAAATATCAAACAGCGTCTCGCGATCGGATTAATCAATAATTTTATAAAAACAACGGCAAGCAATGAGTTTTTTATAAACGCAAGATATTCTAAAGACAAATTCTTAATTAATTCTGTATCGAATTCCGTGTTATACATCATTTCGCAATAAAATATCACGTGCGTTCTTCGCAATAATTATTTTCGTCTAGATGTGTTTTTGAAAATTAAAAGTTCATTAATATTGACTCGAAACGTTGATTTTTAGGGTTTTTAAAAGAATGATTACCTAAATTTTTTAACTCATCAATGAGGCCCGCTTTTCGGATCGCATCAGGCCCCAGAGCGACGCCTTCCTTTTTCTAAAAAGAAGCCAAAATTATTTTCGAACAAATCAGGGAGGAAAATTGATTCGTGTCATTGAGCCCTTCGCCGTGGAGATAATCAAGGAAATAGAAATTCAATGAGGAATAAATACCTGGCCCTTTTCAAAGGGAACTCCAACAAGACCTACGAAATTTCGAACACCTATTTTTTTCACTAAACTAGTCCTGATCGTAGACAGCATTTTCAATTACAACTGTCAGAATGAGCGTAAGGAAAATACTGGAACGTGCATCGAAGCGTTGTTTTATCTTATTGTGGAGATGCTCCATGATCTCTGACCTCTTACTGATAGTGTCCCTCTGACACTACTACAAATACAGATGCCCTTGGAAAAAAAAAAATTAAAAAGGAATAGGGACACGCATATCTCCAAACTTGATTAAAATTTATTCACCGAAGTTCATTCTCTTTCATTCATAAGATATTATTCTATTTATTATTCAACAGATGATCAAAATTGAGAAATGCAGTAGAGAGGTGTTCACTTGGGCCCCAACATCTGCTCTGGTCTCACCCAATCGTTGAATTGCTGATCTGTGAGACCATTCTTCAGGGCTGATTCTTTGAGAGTCAGGCCTTCCTTGTGCGCCTGTTTGGCGATTTTTGCCGCCTGCAAAAACAAAAAAAGAGAAATTTACATGATGAAAATAACAAAAAAAAAGCTTTAAAAATACCTATACATCTTATAGAGATATAAATATGTTCAGAGAGACGTCTTTTATCAAAAGGTCTAACCGGAATAATCTCTCCAAACATTTCTTTATCTCTCTAATCTCAATGCATCTTTCAAAAACTGAACTTCAAACAACAATGAATCATGTTAGTCTCAAAATCGGGTACTGAAAAAATAATAAGAAATGTTCCACTAGAACCTTCTGAATAAACTCACCTTATCATATCCAATATGGGGATTGAGGGCAGTGACTAACATCAAACTTTCATTCATGATCTTCTTGATATTCTCGATATTCGGCTGAATTCCAACGACACAATTGTCCGTGAACGACGTGGCAGCATCTCCAAGGAGTCTTGCAGACCTCAGAGTATTGGCTACCATCACTGGCTTGAAAACATTGAGCTCGAAGTGTCCATTGCTGCCACTGACAGTCACTGCTACGTGATTACCCATAACTTGAGCACAAACCATTGTAATCGCCTCGCACTGCGTTGGATTCACTTTTCCAGGCATTATAGAACTTCCGGGTTCATTTTCCGGAAGAGACAGTTCTCCAAGGCCACAGCGCGGGCCACTGCCTAGGAATCTTATGTCATTTGCAATCTTGAAACGAGAAAGCGACAATTTTCATTAATTTATTTTGTTATTAGTATTATTTTATTAATTCTTATAAAAAGGTATAATAAAAATAACATTCACCTTCATAAGAGCAACGGAGACGGTGTTCAGGGCCCCATGGACCTCGACAATGGCATCATGAGCTGCTAAAGCCTCGAATTTATTTGGAGCAGTGACAAACGGTAATCCAGTGAGCTCAGAAATTTTTGCTGCAGTTTTTTCAGCGAAACCCTTTTTCGTGTTGAGTCCAGTTCCCACGGCTGTTCCACCCAAGGCCAATTGATATAGCCGTGGAAGCGTGTCCTTCACTCTCGCGATGCTATACTCAACCTGAGTGGCATATCCTGTTGAGAAAATCTCAATTAAGTCGCGTTAATTTGAAAAATGATCCTATAACAAAGTATGTCAGCCCCACTGTTGTACAATTCCTTAAGAGTATCTTAAAACCCAAGGAGAAAATAGAAAAATAGAGAAATCTCTCTGTATTTTTTGCAAATGTCTATTTCTCTATTGGAAGATCTCTATGATAAAAATCTTGTCTGAAAATGAAAAACCTGAAAATTCTTGTCCTAGTGTCAAGGGTACAGCATCCTGAGTGTGAGTCCTTCCAATTTTAATGATGTCTTTCCAGGCCTTCGCCTTGGCATCGAGTGCCTGGTGCAGTTTAGTCAGCCCTGGAAGTAGAACTTTATTTATCTCAAGGGCAACTGCAATGTGCATCGCTGTGGGAAAAGTGTCATTGGAGGATTGCGACATGTTGACGTGATCGTTGGGATGAACCGGAGTCTTCGAGCCCAGCTCTCCACCCAGAATTTCAATAGCTCGATTAGAAATTACTTCGTTGGTATTCATGTTTGATTGAGTCCCTGAACCTGTCTGCCAAATAACGAGGGGAAAGTGATCGTTGTAAAGCTTCCCACTTATCACATCGTCCGCTGCTTTGCTTATCGCTTCGGATATTTTTGGATCTAGACCGAATCCCTTATTTACTTCTGCCGCTGCTTTCTTGAGAATTCCCATTGCAACAATTACTCCATACTGCAAATAGTTATCACAAATTTTCATAATTATTTTCATAATATATTTCATCACTTAATGAATTGTTTGTTAATTACCGGCATTCGTTCGAAGCTGTCGCCAATGGGAAAATTCATAACAGACCTCAAGGTTTGTGCTCCATAATATTTATCAGCTGGTACCTTCAATTCTCCGAAGGTATCGCGTTCAATTCGAAATCCCTTGTCACCTCCCTAAAAATCGAAAAATCAGTCTCACATAATGGCAACGAATGGAAACCTCAAAAAATCACCTGTCCATTTTTGCTCGCCATTGTCATAGAATTAAAATCAACAGTTATTTGCGTCTTAATCGTTCAGTGATGATCGGAGAACTGGTCTCACAATGCGTGTGAATATGGAATGAAAGGCCTCGAAGGTGATAAGCAAGAATGTGGTTCTACAGTGTGAATTCAACACCAGTAAACAGAAGTGGTAATTATGTGTAAAATAGCAGAGATTTCAGATTGATAACGAGAACCTAAATCGTGGAGTGAGAATTTTAACGACAGAAAATTCATAATACTTTTGTTTTTTCTTTCATACGAATTATTTGTTTTTCAAATTCGTCTGTTATTTTTTCCTTTTCGAATCTAATTTTAAATTGGTGGGGAGGATTACGTAAAGAAAATTCAAGTTGGAGGGTTGACATTTCGTTATAGGAAAAAAAAATCAAATGACTGATGGAAATTTAATGACAGACGAGCAATTGATGTTCTTGATTGATTAAAATTCGATCTTGATGGACTCCCCAATTTTTTTAGTCAGTCTATCTGTTATAAAAACATTACCTGGGCATAATTACGGACGATCGGGTCGTTTGCAGACAGTCTAATGGCTAAAGTGCTTGTGATTTCACTCTGTAATCTCCGGATAATACTGGGAATTCCTCGTGATTTAAGTACGTTGAGTGCCATTTTTGTTTATTTGAGTTATTTATTATTTTTTTTCGTCAACAATCAAATGGAAAAAGTGTTTTGGCACTGCGTACCGGCAGGTTACGTCGACCAAGGCGATATTATTGAGAGACAAGTCAAGAGGGCGTATGATTTTTTACTGTTCGCTGATTTGTTGAATTTTTGAGAGGGACGCATTTATTCGGGGGTTGATCAATGATTTTTCAAATTCAAATGAAAAATGGAAAATATATGGCTCAATGTATGTTTAAATTCAACTGAATTTAAATGACTTTTTGAGGCACGTACTATATCCTTAAAATAAAAACACTGAATGCAAAATTTATATTGTTAAAATTCATTTAATAATCTTTCATTCATATTTAATTACGCAATTCACAATGATTGAGATATTTGTGGCTTCTGTGATATCTTAAAAATTAATTCAGTTCCTAGATCATGTTTAATGAATAATTTACGTTTAAGTGTCATAATAGTCAACAATTCAATTCTAATCGTCAAAAACCACACAAACATAACGTTTCAAGGCACATATTCTCGATATGGAGATGTCATCGTAATAAATATGCACAAATTTCAATCAAAGGCACGAAGTGTCATTAATAATATCTGCCATCATATTCTTGTCTTGGAGGGCTGCACCGAACTCCTCCTGGTCCCACTGTAAATTCACTTTGCAAAGACGAGGCTCCTTCTTCCCAGTGATACGGAGGATTCCACGAGTTTCGATTAAGGAACAGACTCCAACGAATTCCGAAATGTCCACTGCGAGAATATTCCGCTTTTTACATACTTTCTTGTAGACTTCGTGAAGCTGCAACAGTACCAATTGTTAAAAATATTTAATTTCCCGAATTTAATTATACAAAGTGTAATTGACTCATTTTAATTGTATGAGGACATTCATTTTTATTCGGAGAAAAAAAATTGGCGATTATTTTGTATTTGAATGTTAGCTTTGAAAATTATGAGATGAAATTGAAATATTTAGGTTAATCAATAAATAATTACCTTGCCGACAGTAACGTCCTTATTGCGGCCTTTATTAAGAATCAACATCAGTGAACATAATAAGAGCTTCTGCTGGAGTGGGAAAGTATCTTCCTCCTTTTCAATATTCTGAGACCCACCGTACACTCCATTCAACACAGTAACAACTTCTTTCAAATCAACAGGTTTTTCGACAGCAGGCATTACTTTTTTGGGACTTCCTCCATTATTTTCTGAAAACAATAGATACAATAAAATAATTCAGCAAAATCTGTATTATTCTAGAGAAACGTTCAAAAAAAAATTATGAATAAATTAAATGAAATAATAAAATAATAATTATGAGTATCATATCATGTAATAATCAAATAACTCAACCCAAAAAAAAACTGCTTACGATTATCAACAGCTGGCTGAAGTACTTGACTTTTTTGCGACTCAGCAAGTTCAACGACTCTCCTGCTGATATCCAATGCCCTCCTTACATCCCCAGATATTGCAGCGACCTTTCCCGCGAGCATTTGCATAGCCATCCCCGTAAAAATCTCCTCCACCCCAGCCTCTTTCAATCTCTCGGATATGATCTCCACAATCTGCCCTTTGGTGTAAGGTGCAAAATGCATGAGTTTGGGTTTGAGCTCACACCTGGCCTGCAGCCTTGGCAGGATTCTATCAGTGAGATCGAGGGCATTGGCGATACCCACCAGAAGTATCTTCGACTTGGGTATCGAAGGCCACTCGAATATCGAGTATAAAACGGACTGTCTCTTGCTCTCCAGCTGATCAATCTCATCGAGCACTAGAAGAATCATTTTGTGAGAACAAATCAAATGCTTCTCGATCACAGCCTTATTATTCTTTCCAGATTTTGGCATATCAATTCCGAGCTCTTGAATTATCTTTCCATAAATTGTCCCTGCCGACTTCATTGTCGTGCAATTAACATAAACAGTCTTGAAGGCAGACTTCAACTCAGGCTTCAGCATGATCTTTGACAGACTCGCGGTTTTTCCAGTGCCAGGGGGTCCAGATACGTAGAGTGATCCTGATTTATTTTCTTTCAAGTGATCTTTGATGAATTCCTCGAGTTCTGCGAGCTCCTTCTCTCGACCAGGAAGACTCTCAGGAGCTGAACTGTGGAGGGCCTTTCTGGCATTTTGATACTTCGAGGACACGGGAAAAAGTCTCTTGGGGGTCAGGTGATCCTTCCCTGAGGGTTTCGAAGGACTTGCCTCCTCAGTGGACTCCAGGTTCAGACGGTCCAGGAGGTGCGAGGGGGTCGTCGGGGACAAGATCTTCTTCTGCTTCGGAGGTGTTAGACCCTGCTCCTCCGAAGAGGCTGACGCCCGTCTTCTCCTTGGAGTCGATACAATTTTTTTCTTACCGGCTGTTTTATTTTTTTGTCTCGTCTCGATGTTTTCAGCGTCGGATTCAGAATCCGAGGACTCACTGCTGCTGATGGTCATCAATTTTTTAACCGTTGGGGTGTACTTTGTTGTAGGGGTGCTTCTCAGGGTTGCGTTGGTGAAATCTTCTTGAGAATTCTCTTTTGTCTTGTAGAAGGAGATTTTCTTGCGGATTTGAAACGGCAATTTTGCCTGCACACTCGTCATTTTATAAAGAATTTATTATATTTTTCTTTCAAAGAGAAATAAATTTGAGATATTTAGGAAGTCGTGGCGTGTATTCAGGGAAGTGACAAAGGGGGTAGCGACGTTATTCGACAGCAGTGGTTAGGAGCACTCGGAATTTATTCTGAAACTTCACTGAAACACTTGTGAATTGATAAAATTATTTCTTCTGACGGCCTTGAAAGTGTTTGCGACTTTTTTACGGCAAACAATTGAATTTCGCAGGATATCCAGTGTTATTTACACTGTCTGGTACATTATACGATGCCTGCGTCAGCCACAAGATTAGAACACGCACTGCACAGCGAAATTCGCGGGAACACTCTGAACGCGGGAAACGGATGACAACTGAGGAGCGCACGCGCATGATCGAGAACATTATGTTTTGAGGCGCCAAATTGAAATTCTGTAACTTTATCCTTGTCCGCTCTATCAAGACTTATTAAAGAACTCTCGTTTAATTGCCCATTCCCACTTTCCTTAAGTAATTTAAACCTGAATTAGTCATTGAATATATTTGATTTATTGTTTTCCTCCTCGAGAGTGGAGAAATAATTTTTTTAATATTATTTTTGGTGAAGGGGAGGGAATTTGGAGGACGCCACATGTGCGGGTTATCCCTCTGTCGAGAGGAAAGAGAATTCGTACACAAGGGAGACCTTCCGGACATTTCTGATTGTCGTTCTCTTCCATATTGGTTTCAGAAGTGTACGGAGCTCACGGGTTATAATCCGTAGCAATCGAGGAATTCTAGATTCATCTAGTTTCCTCCAACCGTAATAATGAGAGCAAAGGTACTAATTATTCTGTTGTGATAAATATTTTTTTATTTATTAAATGCCAGAATCAGTATTTTGATTGAAGTGTTGGGTGAAAATCTCGTGACGTTAAAAACGCGTTGTTTTGGATGATCATTCATTCCTGCCGGCGGATTTTGATAATTATTTTTGTCGGCATATCAGCTGCTTTAGTTAATGATTAATGGTTTATTTTTATCATTTCATGGATTTGTTTAATTGTATTCGTATTTTTTTTTCAGTGGCGTAAGAAGCGTATGCGGAGGCTAAAGCGTAAAAGGAGGAAGATGCGTGCAAGGTCTAAGTAAACTGGCATCTTCAATTCTGTAAGTATTTTTTTATTGAATAAAATCAATTATACGATTGCTGGGGTAAATGAGATCAGAGAAATGTATAAAATTATTGTGAATTCATAAATTGTTCAAGTAGACTATTTTTTGCAGATATTTGTGTGGGTCATGCAATGAAATTGAAATCTTGAATACTTGGTCAGGAGATTGTATCAATTGTTTTTAGGGGATTCGTGTATTTTACGAGGATGTCGCTAACGAAATTCTCAATTTTTTTTTTACAGTCGATCGACCAATTTTCCAGTTCAGACTATTCAGAACACCTGAAGCCTCAGCATTTTATACATCTTGGATAGAACATTTGAATTTATTCTGCCACGTTGATCGTACGAAGATGGAATTATAAAACGAAAAATGTAATTTTTTTATTTTGTGTAGTTTTTAAATAAAACTATTCAAGGTATCACTGTCTTACGAATTTTTGCAAACACCTCATTCCTTTGGCCTGTAAAGAGAGAAATTTAATTATGAAATTATTAGGTACCCAGAGATGATTTTTAGGAATTTCTTCAAAATCACGAGCTGCATCAGTTTTCAAATTTTGAGGGCATATTTGTGCATGAATAATGAATATGAAAATGAATATCATAAAATAGATTTATTCAATATGAAGAATTATTTGATAATTGATACGGATAAAATAAATAGTAACCATTAAATTATTGGGAAATTCGGGTGACAAATTTAACACATGTCAATGATTTTTCCACTTGCTCAAGGTCTCCACTTGCATTCCATAACCTCCAAAAATCTCATGTGATGTAAACATAACCTCAATAAATTTTTTCAACGTTTCAAAAATGTTTAGTGTACTTTCTCGAAATATTGTCAATGCTGGAAGATTTTTATACAGATCTTCATACGCTTACACGTGCAAAGTGCTCGAGTTTTCTCAGACGATTCCAAAAAAAAATTATTCCAGTGGTAAACCAAAAAATGATCTGCTGGAAGAGAATGAGGTTGGACGAGAGCCTCCACTGGGTGTCAGGTCCGATTACAAACCGTTTCGAGAAGAGGATGCTACGGTGATATTCGATGTTGACGAGGAAAAGAAGAGGCTCGACTTGGAGGAATTCAATGCCATGCAGGAGGTCGAAGATCCTTATGAGGGACTCAATATGAAACGTAAATTATTATTCTTGTAATGTCCAACCGTGAAACGTAATAAATGCATTGCATATGCGATTCGATTAGATATTGTAGATTTTTAAGACATACCAAAGAATAATAATTAACATTAAAATTTGGTTCTTTGAGATTCAAAGATTAAAACAAAGAAGTTGATTCCAGAGCAGTCTTCATTTACCCACTGACCTACTAAATTTATTTAATGCAAGTGCAATCTTTATGGTATTTAATTTTTTAGGAGGTGTCGATGGAGTTTTTGAGATTGAAGACCTCGTAGATCTCCTCAGAAAGGATCGAGCAGTGAATATTTTCGTGGCAACAGTCCCGAAGGAACTCAGTTACGTTGACTATCTTGTAATCGTTACTGGAAAATCTCAGAGACACATGAGTGCTCTCGCCACGTTCGTTAGGAAAGCTTACAAATTAAAGAGGAATGACAATGATATTATTCCCAAAATTGAAGGAGCTAAGTCAAAGGACTGGGTTGCCCTCGATTTAGGTGAATTATGTTAATCTGCTGCATTAAGTTATTCATAAATAATAGAAATATAATAATATTTTTTTTTTCATTTTCATCGCATGTTTTTACGTTTTCTTTACAAACACATACTGTTCTAATATTTTTTTTCTTTGTCGCGACTTATTTTCAATGATAATGGTTTCAGGGAATATTGCTCTCCATGTTTTTTCTAAATCAGCGAGAAGTCTTTATGACTTGGAGACTTTGTGGGCAGTGGGTGCAGAATTTGATAATCAATTGAACCAAACGGAGACAGAAGAGGAATTCGAGGACAAATACATGAAGTACTTGAAGGAATTGCAGCCAGCTGACGAGCCGGAACCGCCTAAAACGGAAATAGACAATCCCAGCATGGTATCAATTGCTCCTTAGTAACGAAACCACTGTAAATAGAATTTTCAATTATCCAGAAAAGTTTCACGATTTTGTGAAGAAAGTAAAAATTTATTCAAGTGTCTTGTACAGCTCTTAAATGTATTATTCATTTTCATAATGTCAGTCAATTAATAAATCATTAATTTTGCTTAACGAGAGTCGTAGCGAATGACTCGAAGGGACTCGACCGGAAAATACAATTTTTAACAACCGATTATTTATCATTCGACAAAACTTTTTTTTTTATTTCAAAATAGGGACGATAAATTCGAATAATATCGACCTTTTAAATTCCCCGAGTGATTCCCATCCACCTAGACATGATTATTAATTTATTCAAGAAACAATAATACAGAAAAAAATAAATGTAATATCCCATTTGTTTCTCAGGGTAATAATTCCCTGTTGAGATCAATACGCGACATCTCAAGCGGCCATTGCCACTACATGGACCTACAGTGTCTGCTTTCACTCATACATGAATATGATTCCCGTATACATCATTAAATGTACAGTTCATACATTCCATACAGTCATACCCACTCGTCTGCACTCACCCATACCCAATCGGCTTCCCACCCTTCACTCGCTCCGGTTCACATCAGCCCAAAAAACAAAGCAAAATAAAACTCAGATAAAAAAAAATCCAATCAACATCTCGCTCCGATCTTTATCAACACCTTCCGGAGTGATTCAATACCAGGCAACAATTTCTCCGAAAGATCTGTTATCGTCGATATCGGAGCCCAGAAAACCTCTTATCTCGAAATTCCCTGTTTCTAATATTTTTAAGATAAAAAATGAAAAATTTTCAAAACTTCTCTCCCCTCCCTTTCACCTAACCCCCTTCCACAGCCCCAGGTGTCTGAGTCCCCCCTCAAGGTTACATGTGATGTGATTGCACAATTCTTCAGCCACCGTTATTATCTAGCACGAAGTGTTGTGCTCCGGAGTGATATTAAACTCAGTAGTTACACGAAAATTCAACTAGAACTCCAGGCGTCGTATTGAGAGTTGAACTAAAATGCATTGTAGCTTCAGTGAAATTACACTGGGCAGTATGAGTTAATAGTCTGATGAGTAATTGAAAATTATTTAAATTTGAATTGTGGGAGGAGGAGGGAAAGCCCCTGGTGAATCATAGCTAATTCTTTATTCCTTTAAACACACAACTATGAGGTGCTCCATCATTATCACGGGTTTCATAACTGAAAAGTGAATTGAATATAAACGTTATAAAGCCCTCCGAAAGTATTTCGATTTTTTTTAACAAAATTTATTTGAAGTGTGAAATAAATATAAAATTGAAAAGCCACTGGACGAGTGAAAACATTTGAAAAAATTGATGTTATTTCAAGCATAAGACAAATGAACCGAAGAATTGTCATGAATTGATGACTAGCTGTTCCTCGGATCAAGCAATGATTGAGTGAAGTCAATTGATGGGAAAAATGTACGTTTTACTGCGGATAAATCGATGATGAGAGATAAGACACTGACAGTGAGTCATGATAACGTGATTAGGCGTTAGAGGATTTAAATTGGCGAATTGGAGATTTTGAAGAGGAAAACAATGGCTATGACGATGGAGGCCATCTGCGAGAGGAAGCCAACGAGGTGTTTAAAAGTACCGTTGAAGTCAACGGAGCAGATTTATCTTGTTTTCCTTATACCTGTGGTTATGGGCTGTTGCATCTACATGGTGCATTTTGCTGCTGATGTAGTTGTGGCTGTGCAGCATTTCAGGGAGGGAAATCCAATATGGGGTGGCTGCACACTGGGGCTGATCTATGCACCTGCTGTAGCGTATTTTATTCTCACAGTCTCCAGACCTGACTGGTGGATGACTGAAGATCAGAAGCTATCTCGCAATGTTGTGACGTGGTTTGTCATTCAAATCATACAGATGATTGCATTCCCGCTATTTGCATTGTACAGGTAATTCTGAGGGTATTGTGGTGAATTTCGGAATTTTTCCCAATCTTTTTCTTTTTTATGGGATAACTGTTTTAAACCGGTGGAGAATAAGTATAAAAATGCCGAGAAGTTAAAATTATGGCTCCAGATTCGCTGCTGCTATATTGATTCGTCGAGATTTTTTTTCTGGAAAATTCTCGTCGAAGTTTGTTTTTATGTCACGAGCTGGAACTATTTTCAACGCTTTCTCGAATTAAAATATACATGCTCTCATCGATTGAATCGCTTATTTCTCATAATTTGGTGGTGGATTGTGAGGAATTTATCGTGTGATGTTCAGGTCACAGGTTGCGGTGGTGAACCAGAGTATTAATTTAGCACTCCATTTCTAGATTCGCAGGTCAAATTGTCGTAATCGTTGACGCAATCCTTCTAAGTGGTATAGAGAGAAGAAAATCTCTCAACGTGGCAGCAGCTCCAGCGGCAATAGAACTTTATTTCTTCCTGCAAGCATGGTTCCAGGCAGCTCCTCAGGCTATACTTCAAATTCATTTATTATTCCGCGAGAGAACTGCCGATCGCACTTATCAATCAGGTACACGCAGAATGGAAAATTCGTTTGAAGTCAAATATTTGCTATAAACCGCAATATCCGCGAATAAATTAAAAATAAAAATGCAATCACAAAGATTAAAATTTCTCTTTCAGTTTCAGTCCACATCTTATGCATCCTGGTGTCGATAATCGTCTTGGCAGTGCAAACCGCGTCTTTCCAAAGATTTGAGAGCCAACGAATAAATGGGAGAAAGTTGCCCTGGGCCATGTGGCTGAAGAAATACAGAGCGCAAGAGCTCGGAGACCTCGATGAGAAGAAACCCCTGAAGCCGGAGGTCTCGATCGTCTCCTCACAGACAACGGCGTCTCCCCAATCCCAAGAGACTGAGACACCACGTGTTGTCCTCGAACGTCAGATCTCCTTAACTCCTCCCCTCCCACCAAAGAATGCTCAGATGATTCCACCACCTGCTCCTCTCCGTGGTATCACAACAGTGACTCCTCTGCCAGTGCCAGATATGCCAGCACCACCACGTCCAGACTCAGTGATACGAGAATCAATCGAGACCGACGTCGAGGCCCCGGGGAGATCGACCGAGAGAATCGTAACGATTGAGAATAACGATTCAAACTCCTCGACTCGCTGGAAAGGACTGAAACTGCCGAAACGAATTTACTCGGTGAAAGCCATCGAGGAGGATGATCCTGTCGGCACATTCATCGCTTTTCTCTGGTGGTTCTTCTTCATCGTCGCCAGGGTCTTCTCTATCGCAATTTTCTACGAATTTTATCCAATTGCTTTGGCGGGTGTTATTGGCGTCCACTACATCGTCATGATCATTTATTTATTTATTCATTCGAAAGACCATGATGTCACGACGTTTTTCGTCAACCTCTGGCTAGGGTTGGTCTACATCTGCAGTCTCATTGAGTATCGGGTGAAATTCAAACACCCTGAGAAGTGGTTGTGGTTTTACTGTGCCTTCGTTATGGCACAGAATACCGCCATGACCGCCACATGGTTCGCCCTTGTCGACTGGGATGGCTTCTGGTACTCTTATATTTTTTACGCTATTTTTGGATCCATCGGGCTTTGCATCATCTCTGGTTCTGTTTATTATGTGCTATTTAAACCTGGTAAACGGCGAGTTTATGCTAGTTAGGTTTTCGAGTGAGAGATAATTACTGCAGGAGATGGATAATTTTTTTTTTTGATTGAAATTGAATTACGTTTCTTGTAATTGAGGAATTGTCTTAAGGAAATGTTGACGGAAATTCTTTGTAAGTTACGAATATCTTCTTTGATATTTTATGTAAGTATTATGAGCTTTTCAGAAACTTTATAATTGAGATAAAGCTGCAAAAGGATTTTTTCACAATTCGCTCATGAATTGCTCGATTTCGTGATATAATAACATAATTGAGGAATTTAAACAAAATTAGGACGAAATTTTCCACCAGAATAGTTTTGGCCAATGATCAATTATTCATAGAATAATTATATCATTAATATCTTCATTGAAAAATTGCATTTGGTACGAGTGTCACTGATAAATCTGATGAGAAGAAAATATCGATTAGTCAGCCTGATCCATAAATTTCCCAGAATTGAAATAATTAAAGTAAATAAAGATAAGGACTGATTATTAGAATAATCACACATGCACACTTGAAAGTCATATCTACTATTGTAAAGGTGTGGTAATTATTTCATTATCGACTTGACGTGCTAACAATTAGCATCGTTTTATTTAGTGCAATTTTTTAACGCATAATATGCTAGAACGAAAACATTACGTATTTTATCAAGTACTGATAAACATATTTATATTTATTGTATAAAAAAGAAGAACAAGACTTTGACGATAATTTTGTTTTCTAGGCAGCAATTACTTTTCTTCCGGTTCATGTAATGAAGAAAATCGTTGTTTATGTTTTTTTTTGTGTTCATTGTAGGGAAAAATATTCGCACTGACATTATTATTTACAGTATTTTGTACATTTGTCTTAATCATGCACAGACTCGGTTTTAAACCACGATTAAAGAGAATATTGTACTAAAATTGTTGTTTTCACTTGGAGAGTATTTGTTTTTTAATTGCACGGGTTCAAACGTGTAAAGATGCTGCTCGATGGAGGGTACCCAATTGTGCTTCGAAAAGGACGTCGTTCAAAAGTTTTTCTGCTATTATCCTCTGGTCAAGGCGCATGTTGCGTAATTTCGCTGCTACATTTCGACCGATCGCATCGAACTCATCGTCCGTTCCAAAATTGCTTTGGTGGGGTCTAGCTACATCTTGGTGCTCCGGCTCATCTGATTTTTTCTTTTTAACAGGTGGTGACGTCTCTGACCAGGTTACGGGCGGTGGCTCACAGTTCTCTTCGGGATTACTTGGATTGTCATCTTGTGAATACTTTTAAAAAATTTTAACGAATTATTGGAGCTGTTTCAGATGAGCCAACAGACTTCAAGAATATCATTCTGTAAATATCTTTCATGAGTGAAATCCTAAAGAAACTAGAGACAATAATGATTTCGCGGCGAATCCCTCGAAATTTTTCTCCTCTAAAGATATTCACACAATAAAAATGGATAAAATGACTGAAATTTGAATAACGAATTCAAGTGTTGAGATTAGTTTTACGTCAAGTCATTTTACCATTTTAATACTCCGTTAATTATTGGATTAGTACAAAAAAGTGAAGAATACATTATGCTCTACCGTTCTGTAACACTTCCTGTATCCCTTCGTGCTTTTCACGGGTTCAGGAAATTTGCCAGGTGTCGTATCGATATAGGCAAGTGCTGGTTTCCTCTGGTGTGATTTTGTCTTGATTTTATCGATCAGTACTGGGTGTACTCTCTGAAATTAACAAAGAGGGTAATACCACGATGTGTAATTAATAATCCAAAATGGTGCCTCGGTACTCAGAGCGTAATTTTTCAATACTTTGGAAAAAATATGTAGAATTATATGCATTACTTATCCAAAAAAACATTGTAAAGCACCTACTGATGTCACGCTTTATTCGAATCTATACGTGCGCAATCACGCAATTAGATAAAAGGTGGGTTATTCATAAAATACTGACAAAACTATATTGCTACCTCTCTTATTTCCTTCACCTAACGATAAAAAACTCATGGAAGATTATTTGTAAGTATTGTAAGTTGTAACGTATTGTAAGTTGTAACGTAACCATTGTAAGTCCCGAAACAATAGCAATGAGTAACCAGGGAACAAAGGGGCGCATGTGAGGGATCTGTAATAGAGATTGATTATTATTTGAATTTTTTAAATTATCATAATGCGAAATCAACGGTTTTGAATTAAACATGAATTTAATTAATTTAATTTAATTTGCTTTCGACTTGGGATTTGAAATATCTGTTGATGTCATAGAAACTAGAAAGAATAGAAGTTCGTGAATTCGTGATTCTACAAGGATTATTTGAATAAAAAAAATCCGGTGAGAGATCTATCGATGTTTCTACCGAAATTCCTCATTGCTGAGATAACATCACTTTTAACATCTAAATACTTATCGAATCCATTTAGTTGGTACAGCTTATCTACTCTTATGAATTACTGAAACTAATGAGAATAAAAAAAATAACATACTTTGATATGGCTTAAGAAATTCCCCGTGGACTTCAGGTTTCCATTCAACAATTTCTGGCACTGGAGACACCTAACTGTGACATTACTATCGTCAATACGAATAACGGAGAAGTATTCACCATCTAGAATTGCTGGTAATCTGACAGGTGTTAGCGTCATGCTATGCTGTATATTGGATTGAATCTCGGTGACTTGAATGTTGGAATCTCCCTCGTGGCCATCACCTTGCTCATTATTCCCATGATTATCCTCAATATGAATTAGGGCCGGCTCCACCACATTTGATGTTACTTGGCGTTGAGATATTGGAGTGCTTAAAGTATCAAAAGTCTCGATTTTCGTTTCATAACGAGGCGTTGAGAATGACTCCATGATCGTCGTTCGACTGCAACAATTCTCTCCAGCTTTTATAACAATGGGCGGTTGAACAAGCATAAAAATCACGTACAGAGTTCAATTGTAGACTCTCTAAGGCTCGCTGTGAAGAGCTGTAGAATTTTCTATGATTTATTTTCCGTATTTTATGTTTTACTTCGAGATAAGACTCCAGATAAGACTCGAGCACATCTAGATCAGATAAAAGTCCACTGAATTGTTGTTTTGGTTTTTTATTGTTCGGGGAGATTTTCAGGTTATGGGGGAGAGTTTTGGAAAGTGTGCGCAGGAGTACACAGAGAGGATTGCGCAGGTTGGGCGCGATTTCTGGAATATTTACGTCTGCCGGTTAACAAGTGGAAAAGCGTTGTGAATAATAAAAAAATCTTAAGAATTCTGTATTTAACTGGGCAATGAGTAAAGTTTATTTCAATGAATATCTAGAAATACAATTGAGAGAAATGTGCCTGCACTGATTAATGTCTTTTTTTTCTGGAAATAGGATTTGAAAAAAAATAAGGTTAGACATGCATCAACGAATGTGTCATGCCTATAATTTACAAGTATTATTTTATTCCTCACGGTTGATGATTGTTTTTCAATTTTCATAAATAGAGGTAGAGAACTGAAAAATGGATCGACCAAGCATGGATAGTTTCCTGAGACGGGATGTAACATCTCCGAGAAAACGAATGTCATTGGGGCCATCGTCAAGGCGTCAGAGTTGCGGTGTGAGTTTATCAGGTCGTTCAACTCAATCAGTCCAGGTGATATGTCGTTCAGCGAGCCACATAGTCGAAAGTTTTGGTTCTTCATTGCCAGTTCTGGTGACAGAGGCACTGACCTTCGTCGACAGGAACACAGCAGTGAGTGTGAATGGGTCCCAGAATGGCTGGGCTTGGTTGGTCTGTGGAAGACGACTTCTGGTGTGGCAATGCAAGACGACCATGGACCCGAAGCAACGTCCAACCTTCAAGTCCCAATGTCGAGAACTCCAGCTACCTCAGAGTGATCTAGCTCACAAGGCTGAGTGCATAGCAGTTTGGCTTCCACAGGGCCACCAGGTACCCAGCTGCATGGCAGTCTCACCCGAGGGAATAGTCCGTTACTGGAGTAGTGTAGCACACGAGGAATCCTCCGTGGAGACCTCAGCGGAGCTGGCAGGCCAGGAAGTCGATTGTCTAACCCACATTCCCAGTCACGGCTGTATTCTGGCCACCACAACCTGCACAGTGGCCCTCCTTCAGCCTCAGTTCACAAATGCCCGTAATACCATCACCTGTAGAGTCCTCAGAACTTCCCAAGGATGGCTAGGTGGCATTGGGCGCAGAATGTCATCCTTGATCTTTGGGGGGATGCCACAATCCCCAGTGATGGAAACCAAACTGGCTAAAGTCACCTGCACGAGCTTTGGGGAACGCTCCAGGGTTCTCATCCTGGCTGGATCCTCTCTGCAATACTGGTCATTTTCCTCTGGAGAACAAGAGAAGATGGAGTTCGACGAGGACGTTGGGCACATCGTCTCCCAAGAGTTTCAAAAACACATGTGGAATTCGAGGCAATTAGCTCCTCAGAACATGGAAACTTGGCTCATTGATATGCAACCCTGTGACGAGGGGATTGTTCTCCTCGTAGCAGCTAATTCATCAGACACTTCACCATCTAGAATTCATTTTGCTCTGGGTTTACTCCCCCTGAATGGTACTAGTCTTACGAATTCCTTCAAGTGGTTCCTGCAGCTCAAGATGTGGCTTCTGAGGAACAAGGAGGACATCGAGACCGCCATATCTTCCTTCAGATTCATTCTCTCAGGCTGGGAGGCTATTATTTATAATTCCAACACTGTTCACGTAGTTAATACTGCTAATGAACACGAACAGGATAAAATTGACCTGGTGAGAAGTACAGAGGATAAAATTCTAGGAGGCTCCATCTGCTCAGGAGCCCCCATCCTCTTCACCAGGAACTCTGGCCTCGTCACAATCACAAGACCAGACTTTCCCCTTCAGGATTTCAATTCAAGCTTTGCTGATACCAACAACAGTATCGATTATACTCTGAATACGAGTGTAACCGATAATTTTAACGCTACGATATCGAATGAAAAATTGAGAGAGATGTATCTCAGCTCAAATGGAGTTGACCAGCTCGTTGCAGCTTTTATGTTCAGTTGCAGGCAGAGCAAGCAAGAATGTGAACAGATACTTGGGGAATTATTTCCTTATCAGGAGGAACCTGTCATGGACATCGATGCATTGTTGGATACACTAGTCCTAGAAGTTGCAAAACGCCTCATCGATGATTTCCCTGCTAATGATCCTCGTTGGGCGAATCACATGGATACCTCTATGACCATGACAACGGTGTCTTCGATGCAAATCCCTCATCAGCTCGATGGGAAGCAGAAGGCTTTGGATCTGTTCGTCGGATTTTTGAAGGAGTACAACCTTTGGAGTAGGTTCTGCGCTGTCACGTACAGAGGAATCATCATGTCGACCTCTCATGTCCTTGGCGAATATGCTGAGAAGATTGTGGCTGCACTGGCCATTTACAACTTGCAGAATCAATTCCCCGATATTTTAGATCCGATTATCGAGGAGATGCTGAATCCAGAGCGCTTTATTTCACCTGAGTTGAGTGCTCGGGATGTTTTTTACAGGGAAGTCAGCACAGTTCATCAATTGCTCCCAGCGTTAGTGACTTCAACAAACGATGTGACCCAATCTGATAAACCGATTCAACAGGTCTCACAGTATATTCTTCGGGTCAATTCGATTCTCCTTGGGGTATTGAGAGAGGTCATCAAATACAGGCAGAACAATGCGGACAGATTCGTGCCATCTAAGTCTTCAAATGCTGTCACTGAGTATTTACCCTGGACTGCAGCCGTCGGGAAGAATGAATTGAGAACTTGTCTTTATACGATGCAAAATTTGACCTTGAAGCATGGAATTACGGGAACAAATGACTCAGCTGTTAGAAACGAGCTTTCTGATCAGATTGTAGGGATCATTGACCTGATCCTCGATGGGAGGAAATGTCATCTTGAAAGTATCAGAGGAACTGAAAAATTCGATATTCTGGTTAAACAGTATGAAACTGAAAGGACGAATTTAATTCAACCGCTGATCAAAAATGAACAATATGAGAATGCTGCGATGTTAGCTGAAAAATATTTTGATTTTGCCTCGCTAGTGCAGATCTGTGAGCTGACTGATAACAAGAACAGGTTGGATAGCTATTCAGAGCGATTTGTTGATCAGGATTTTGTGGGCTTTTTGTTCTCCTGGTACGTTAAAGACGGAAGACAGGGACAGCTGGTGGAACGGTGCAGACGTGGAGGTGCTGGAGAACTGACTGAAAAATTAGCTGAGCATCCTGAGTTGTCGTGGGTTCAGGAGTCATTGACTGGAGAGTACCGGCAAGCTGCCCACACTCTCAATGTTTTGGCTAATGAAGAGGTGGAGCTTGTAAAAAGAAAGAAATTGAAACTTTCATTGAGTAAATTAGCTCTGTTGTGTTCGGATGAGCCTGAGGAGGAGATTCACGATGCCCTGGACAGGATCAGCAGCGATTTGGAGCTCATTTCGTACCAGGAAGAGCTGCCTGATGATGTTTTGGAGACCTATGGTTATGATACTAGTAAATTGAGGGTCCTCAAGCCCGTGGAGCTCATCAATTTTTATACATGCGATGAGAACGCTCTTGCTGGGGAGTTTGATTTCAAGAAGGCCTTGGATTTATTAGATTATGTTCCTGATGTTGATGATAAAAAATCGCTGAGACTGAGAATCTGGGCGAGGGCTGCCAGGAGGGATACGTGGGATGCCGTCACCAAGAATCCGGAAATCCAGATACAGAAGACTTTATTCTTCACACTCATGGATCTCAATCATACAATGGGAGCTCCCCTGGAAGAATGTCTTCCACCAATGGATGACTTACTCTTGGAATCTGAATTGGGCCCTCTCGCAGTATCCAGCAACTTCCAGTATCTTATCAAACTCGTCTATGAGTATTCATTACAACATTTCAAGATCCAGAGTGGGTGAGGATAGACGGAAGATTTTTGCATTATTTCTACAATCATTGATAATTAAATAAATGTTTGGACTAATTCAAGGATTGTTTTATTAAAGTAAAAAAAAATAATGGTAATAGCGTCATGAAGGATGCGGTGAGTTTGTCGGCAGTCGAACATTGTAGATTTTCTATTCGCAGGAGATATCTGATGTGTCTCGGAGTTTTGCAATCAGCCTCTACAAAAAATGGACATTTGTTTTTTTTTAATTAATTCATAATCAGGTTTTAAACACAGACATAAAAGAGGGGTTTTTACCCCGCAATATTCACTATCGATATAATGAACTCAATTTACTGAATCATTTCACCACTTTTTTTTATGGAAATATTTCTCAATCCAAAGAAAGTGATTGAGAGAAATCACTTGGAATTACTCTCTAAAGACGTATTTCTGGAGAATAAAATCCATTGATCTCGTGTCGTCGTTTCACAATGAGTTTTTCTCGGACTTTATTAAAATTCATATGGCAATGAATTTAATTGTTATTTACCTGCACATTTATTCGTCGATGAGAGTCCTCGTATTTGATAAAAAATAGTGGGACAATCTAGCTTTTGACATGTATGGAAATCGGTTAATTCTGCTTCATCATTCCCTGACAATTCTCTGCAAGATAATAGTTGTCTTGTGATACTACTCCTTTTCTGATTCCACTTGCAAATCTCGACTGATCCATATCCAAACCCGACGATTTTCACCGTAACTGTTTTGGTATTGACTCTCCACAGAGGATCCAGTCGATAAATATTCACTTCCTGAGGATAAACATAGCCCTCAATTTGATCCCTGACCCCTAATGTTACATTTGGATTACAGGGTCCAGGCCTAATGCTATTTGGTACTTCCACCAGACGAGTGCTGATGTCATTGATCCTCAGGCTTGTGAGCAAATAATCTTCCTGAGATATCAAAAGTTTTCTCAAAGGATCCGCTCTCTCTGGCGTCGTATAATAAATTATATTGACATCTGGATGAAGACTCCTCATATTTTTTAAAGATATTAGTGCTTGTTGGAGTTCGGGTTCGGATAATCTAATTAATGGAGCCAGAATTATGATTGCCTGACCCAATCCACCGATTGTATGATTTCTATGCAGTTCTTTCCATTTATTCGTATAGTAATCACTTGCGACATCAAAAACTTCTGTCAAATTTAGATTCGTAGATGACGTTTGGTTGATAATTGCTGACTGAGCGGAGGAGAAGCTGCTTGTGACGTTCAGAATCCATTTTCCCGACGAGCCATCGATTATTCCGACAGATGAGCCGAAAGGAGAGATATTTAAGTCTTCGAATAAAACACTGGAATGGAAATAATACTGGAATCGTTAAAAATAATTAAATGAGGGAATCCCCCTGAAATTCCCCGGTCGATCCTAATTGCTCACCCTAGGAAATCTGCAGCATACTCGTGCGACCAAGCTCCATCGGTTGTCACTAGAACTTCAACTTTGGGATGATGTTGTTCCTTGATGCAGTGAAGTCCAGGAAATAAATGATTATTCACATAATCTGTAAATTTAGTCACCGAGTAGTGGACCATTGTCTTCAAGACTTCGTTGGACATGTGAACGGAGCTGCAGCGATAAGCTAGGATCTGGGAAGCTGCATAGACCTGTTGCTCCAGGACTGTCGGTGAAGCTATATACCAGAAGGATTGACCCCGGTTGCAAGCTTTCACCGTTGAGTCGAAACTCATACCCTTGGGGGAATAATACATGTCCAGTATTTCACTGAGCCGAAGTGTTGTGAAGTTTGAGGTCCATTGCTTCAAATGTTTGGCAATTATGAAACCTAAATCATGGAGAGAAACGGGAATGATATCTTGAAACCGATAAGCTCACTATTTCGGATAATTTTCTCTATAAATACACGACAGAGAAAATTTCTTTATTTCAATTCTAAGAATTTTCTTTATTTTGAATGGAAGAACGAAAGTGGGGGTTATTTCTTGGATTACCATCAACTGCCCCGACGATTTCTGCTCTGGTAGCATCAAAACTTCCATCTTTCCCAAGTAAATAAAACATTTGCGGTCTTATAGAGCTATTCCAAAATCCAGTGGCTCCAAGGAGCATTCGATCACCCACTGAAGGTCCTTGATGAACCGCCATTTCTGCCAAATCGCCTGAGCAATTGGGGAAAAAATAATAATAAAAAAATGATGGATATTTTATTCTTCACATTATTTATCACTGACCAGCAACTGTTGATGCCCAAATATTATCCAAATTGGTATCGGAGGCGAGAATTGAATGAAGCCACATGGATCTGAAGTGAATCATTTCACTTTTAGGAATCATAATGTCGACATCGTAATCATCGTAATTCAACTGATCCGGAATATTCACTAACAATTTAACGGCAACTGTTTGGGGCTGAAGAGCAGCCGCAATGCCTGCGATCAAAGGTCCTGGAGCTATCGTTCCATAAGGTGTCAGGATGACTCCAAGTTCCAGAGGACAACTCCTCATTTCTACAGGAACCATATTATCTGAAAATATTGTTCACCGCTTTTGAATGATGTCACATAATTGAGTCATGAGATGATAGAACAATTTTTGCTGTTAAATTTCAATTTACGATAAAATTCGTATTCCATTTTACAAAAGGTTCTGGGCCTTTCCTTGTGAAACCCTTTTCTCGTCATCGTCAGATAATTAAAACTGTTCTACCACTTCTGTAAAATATCGTTCTCTCAATTATCAAACGTAATGAATTCACCAGATATTTTCTCCGTCGGTCGTTCCATACAGAATTTATCTCGAGACGCGTCCTCATGCTCCCAAATAGAATTGGAAAGTGCACGATGAAGAGCACAACGTTCCAACTTGGTCAAAATATTATCCGAGAATTGTTTATAATTCCCTGGAATTAATTCCTCAATAATTTGATTCTTAGTCCTTTGAGGACCGGTCCCACCGAAAGGCAACACTCCATCCTCAAACTTCAGGTCCTTGTGCCACTCAATTCCATCGAATTTAAATCTACGAAGAAGAGATGAAGTAAAAATCCTCAAGTCTATTGACCTGTCCTCATGTGTCTCAGCTTTTCTTATGATATCGATGAATGTTTGGAGATTCAAGGGAAGATGAGGTCCATTGATCGTTTCCTTTTGATAACATTCTTGGAGGTACGACGGAATCCGCGTTTGTGATCCGATATTACGACTACTAATTAGTAAAATACCGGTAATGAATAATAAACGGCTTTTCATTTTGAATTGAACGATCTTATGGCAGGTGTACTACAGATTGTCTGCGTTTCACTCGCCATTGGGTACTAGATGAATCAACGATCGAGTGAGATAACTCTGCATGCCAGTGATGATAAGATAAGGATAGTAAATTGGAATTTTGAGGTGTGTGTGCCGTCTAAACGGAAGGAAAGAAAGTTTTATTATTTGTTTAATATTTTTTTAGGATTAGGGTCAATTATATGTTTGCTTTGTTAGTGTTTGGACTAATGAAGAGTCTGTGAAAATCCACTGATTTCCTGATGATTTTCTTTCATATAACAGCGAAGAAATTTTCATTTAAAACTTGACAATTCATAATTTATTTATAGGGACGATTTGATCAGTTGTTTTGATAATTGTTTATTTGTTAGGTACAATTTCAGATGAAGGGCTTGCAGAGGGCCACTGTGTGGTCGACTCCACAGGCAACTTTTTTTACTTCAGCTCCAATCGCCACCTGGACATGATGAGAAAGCATTTATTAAAATAACAAGGACTGTAACATTACTGATTTTATAATGAATTATAATTTTAATTTTATTAATCAGATCTTTTATCTTGAAAAAAGGTGCAGATGCTCGTTATATCTTGAGAAGTATTTTCTACTATTAGTTAAGTACTAGAAGAGACGATTTTTTGCTTTTTTTGACATACCTTGAGAGGAAAGAATTGATCGTTCTGGTGGCCCAAGCCAAGATGCCCGTATTTATTTTTTCCCCACATGTAGAGATCTCCGGAATTCGTTACTGCTCCTAAATGATTCATTCCGGCATAAATTTGGGTTACCTAGAATTGAGAATTTACTTGAATTTTTAATTTTCCCCGAGGGAATTAACTCTGAAAGCTGACTAATAAAAGATTTATAAATCATTTATAAATGATTTTTGAGGCTTTTTATTTTAATTGAAAAAAGATGGAAGTTGGAATAAATTATTTGATTACCTTAATATTCTTTTGATACACATTTCTACCAAATAACGTATTAGGTATAAGAGTGGGTGTTCGAATTTTTTTCACCTCCGGACCGAATCCGAGAATTCCAAATCCCCATACGTAAACGTCTCCGTTACCTGTACAGACAGTTCAAATATAGATAATGATTGACAGGGATTTTTGGGTAGTGATTATTCTGATGAATATAAAAGCACGTACTCGTCAGAATCATACAAAAACTCCCCCCGACAGCAATATCGACAATATGTCCTAATTTAACACAGTCCGATAACTCCGTGGCAATATTTATCTGTGTTGTATCACCCTCGGTTGGTAGTTGTCCGTATTCCGAGTTTCCCCAGCCGAAAATTTTCCCTTTGTCTAAAAAAAAAATAACAAATCACAAGAACGATCGATAAATTCAAATTGTTCTGATGAATAAATCGCGGAGGGGCTCAAGAAGACATGGGGGAAGAGTTCCAGATAATCTAGTCATTTTAATATGAAAAAATGAAAATCCATGAATATTTATGTACCACTCATGGCTAGAACGCAATCAGCCGCACATGCCACTTTGATTATTCGTTCACCAGCTAGATCTCCTTTAACTAAACTCGGTTGCCATTCATTTCTATAATGAGCCAGACCAGTCTGGCCATCGGCACCCCAGCCGAATGTGTAAACTTCTCCTTTTTCCGTCAAGATTACACTAAAAAAAAGGCAATAAATTATTCAATCACAAAATAATTAAAAATTAAATAAAATCCCACATTTCACACTCTGAATTTTGAATTCAATCCATTGCGAAGCATTAATATGGAGAGAAAAATATGAAAGCCAAATGTATTTTGAGTGATGATTTGAGTTTAAGACGAACCTGTGGTCCTGGCCAGCAGTCACCCCAGTTATCCTGACCCCCTTGATATTAGGGATATGGTGAACAACTTTGCTCTTGCAATAATCCTCATTCTCTATAACTGGCCTGCCACATTGGCCATATCCATTATTCCCCAGTGTGAAAACTCCTTCACTTGTCAAAATGAGAAGATGAGCCCTCCCAGCAGACAGCCCCAGTACCTTAGTGTCCTTCTTCTTCAAGGGCAATGGAATAGGTCTTGGGACCGTAATTATGTGGTGCTTGTAATGGACTTCATCCTTGGGAGCAGATCCTAGTTGTGAATCTGTGTTTATACCATTTCCATACACGATACTCTCACTATCATCATTCACTCCGAAAGCAGTGAATCCATAGCCACAGGTGATGTCCACGACCTTATGCCATTCACCGAAGGTTAATCTACTGGGTTTAGCGATGTAGTTGAAATCTGCCGATGATTTTTTCGTTCTTCCGAGGGTACCAAGTCCTCCATGATCTGCCAAACCCCAGACATAGACTCTTCGATCGCCTGGTTGAGCCACCGGGTACTGAAATACTATTTATATATTAATGACAATTGTCATCGTTTTTTATTTACGTTTTCATTGATCAGTGTTAATGATTAATCAGTGGCACTTCCTTCGTTACATTTCATTGTTCTCTGAAGAGATATCCGGTGTCAAAGACTTTTCAATTGTTTATCCTACAAAATGGGTTTTTTGTAGGTCTGATATTCAGTTAAATTTGGCATTTCCGATATTCGCGATGTCAACAATTCTCAGTGGACAGATTTTGCTCACCTGGCATGGGTATTCCTTCGTTTTTCTTTGGTTTACTTATTTCTCTCAACGGCGGTGGTTTCGTCCCATTTTTCGGGATGGCTCGAGAGCACGCTCTCATCGTTCCCAACATCTTTATTCAATAAATGTTATCTTATTTTTAATTGCTTTTGATTAAATTTTTGATGAGTGCAAGGGATGTCGTTTATTTACAAAATCCTAACCTGTCTTAAAAAACACAGCAACTTCGTGTTGTTAAAAACTCGCGCCACGTGCTGCCTCCGTAGGTAAAAATTTTTTGGATACATATTGGGTCTCCGATGGAGGCGCCAACCTCTTCGTCGGGGTGATGTCACGTCGTCCTGGGGTATTCTAAACCATGAGACCTAGAGAATTGACAGAAGTAGAGGCTCAGTTCTGGGGGTTTGAGTGACCCCAGCGGCATCGTAGTACTGTA